TTCCACATCATTACATTATTTTCTTCCATCTCTGATAGGTTTACTTCACCAGAATGGCCTGAGATATTACATCACCAAATATCAGCAATGTATGTACCAATTCTACAGTACAGCACAAACTAAACCTTCCTTCAAGAGTATAGAATAACAGGCTGAATATGTTTTCTGAACACTCCTATTCATCTCAAATAAACCCTTATTGCATGATCAATTTCTCTCTTGTTTCATGATGTACTTTCCTCTTCAGACAAGTAAAATGCATTTGCATAATCTCCATTTTTGTTCAAGAATCTGTACTTGCAATATGTAGAATATTCCACACATTTTTTTTCTGAAGATGTTTGTATCATTATGATAAGCACTGACATTTTGATAGTGTGCTATGGTTATTTATCAGTGCTGTGTATTTCTATGTGTAGTGTGGATTTGAAGAGAAATGCAAAATGGAACTTAGTTTAAGATTTATTTATCAGCATGCACAAATTATTTAATAATTTAATTATTTGACATGACAAAATCTACTCAAAAGCACTAGTTTGTGTTATATTGAAAGATTGGCATGGCAGTTTGACTGCCAGCCTTCTTATATATTAAAATTTATTGATGAGTGTGAAATTTGTGAGGATGACTATTGATAATTCTGTGATGTTTTCTGAGAAGTCAAGTACAAGTACTTCTTCACACCAGATCAGGCACTGATGACACACCATAGAAAGGATTCTAACTATGGTTAGTGTAGTGACCAAATGGCCTTAACTGGGATACTTATAAAAGTATGGGTGAGAGGTAACATTGTTACATTTTATATGGTCACATAAAAATACAGATATATTCATCCCGAGAGTAGACATCAGTTTTTGAGGTAAGTAATATTTCCACCTGTGCATAGTTTCAATCTAGTGGATTTTCAGGGGTGAGAGTGAGGTGTTATTTCTAGAATATGGATAATTATATATACTAGAAATTGGAGCCAGCACACACAAATAACCATTCAAAAAGTTATGGTAACTTCTGGGAGTTGACCTTTCTCATTATCTGCTCACTTTGACAAAACTACACTAAGATAGTCAGACATCTCCCAGAAACTGCTTACTGCTTCTAGATACTTAGGGAGGGTTTTATGCATTCAGTGATTTCCAAGATTCCTGAGTGATTCAAGATTTGTGAGTTTCCTGATCCTTATGAGACTCCCTCCTTGACAGAAAAGGCAATTTTTCAATACACAATAAGTAGCAGCTCAAAATGTACAAATAAGCGAAGATGTGTGTCATATCCAAGAATTTAGTAATGAGTTATATATTCTAGCATTTGACGATCCTTTGTTTACATCATGAAGCCCATTCTTGTTTACAAGGAGTGAAACTTTTGTATCTAGTGTTTTAGGGTTTCGTATGTGTAGATTGAAGTTTTATCCTGCAAGTCCCACACAGCTCTTTACACCCATATAAACACACGGGTTTTAGTTGATGGTTTAGGCTTCTTACTGGCTGGCTCTCTCTCAATTATTAACACACGTCTGTTAAACTTTGTATCTCAACATGGTCTTGACTTACCTGAGAATGCCCAGGCATCCTACCTTCCTGGTAGCTACATGGGATGGGATCGCCTTGACTCATCCTCCTACCTTTCTCTATCACTGTTTTAATTTCCTGTCTTGCTAAATACTGCTTTCAACTGACTAGAACATATGTATTCTTCAACCACTAAGAGACACATATATTCAGAGCATTCATTTCTGTCTAAATGAAAAGGAAGGGTTTAACTTCAACATAGCAAAATTATATATAATAAAACAGTTATCAAGTAAGAACTTTATTTAACAATATTTAGTCCATTTACATTAGGCAAAATTGAAAGAAAAATTTCTGTCATCTATCCTATCTTTGTAAGTTTACAGTTTAAATGTAGCTTATCTTTTATCATAACTAAGAGAAACCATAATCTAACTATCCATCTTCAACCCCCTTAAAGACCGGCGAAGAGTAATATATAAACCCAGTATTGACAGAGACACTTGCTGACTGTACAAGTTTCTCTGTAATGTTGGGGCATCCCTCTTCAGCATATAAGCCCAGAATGTCTGGAAGACATTTTAATGAAGCAGGAACCTTGAGGCAGAATCCTGTCCCTTGGCAATTTCAGCAGTCACTTTTCATTGGAACCTGCTTGTCCATTTTGGACAGCATGCTGCCAAAAAGTACAGACAAGAGCAGTTTCTTGCTCAAATGGCTATTTCTGCCATGTTGAAGGCAAACTCCACAATGAGTTTCATTGATTTCCATCTTTCTCTCTGATGTAATTGGTGTTGGCAGGAACAGTTATGTCTCATTGTCATGAAAAACCCTAATAAACCATTTTACAAGCCATAGTCTATAGTTCTTTGAAAACTTTGAAGACTAGCTATCCATTTGCAATATATCTGTATATCTAGAAAACCTAAATAACATAAGTTTTGACTATTATAGGTAACGATCTATAATCTGTATTTAATTATACATTACATTTATAAAAGAGCTGTATAAACACAATATCTAAACAAGAGGACAAATACACATATAACAAAATTAACCTTAAATTTTGATCAATAAGCCTAAATCCATACTAATGCAAAGTATTTGTTTCTATATCAAATTCCTTTTTTCCTTTAGAAAGAGATTGACTGTGATCATTAACCATTTATAAAGAACCCTGTTTAAATCAAGGCAAACATTTATAAACAATATTTTGGAATTTGGTTGTAGTTCTCTGCAAATTGCTTCCTGCTGTTTGGGGGTGCTGTCAATCCCAAGGGGATCCTAAAAAAACCAGAATCCTGGTGAAATCCTGGCTATAGTGGTCTGTGAGGCTGCATGGTCTCAGCTGTTTTGGATGTTGGATCACCTGGGCCACTGCTTCAAGGGTGTTGCTTGATCATTTTTTAATCCTCCATGGAAACAAAAGCAGAATGCATTTTCCAAAGTAACATGTCCTTAGACTTAAACTTTGATGTCAAGCCATTTTCAAAATAAATAGATTGGATTAATCCAGAAGCATTTATAATCAATACTATCTTCTAAAGTGTTTATGATTCTGCACACA